AGAGTGAATCCTCAAGTAAACTATATAGTTTTGATAGTTATGATGTGTCAGGTTAGGTAATTCAATTGTAACAAATGTACTACTCTTGTGGACAATGTTGGTGATGCCCCCAAAAATGTTGGCTACACATTTGTGGGTGGGCAGAGGATATATCGAATATTTCTGTAGATTTATCTGAATATTTCTGTGAACTTGAACCTTCTATAAAATTCTTTTCTTAAATAATATGAAAATATAGAAAACCATACATCACTTCTGTCAAGTGTTTTATAGAGTTGTTAATCTTTATAATCCCCCAGGAGTAGGCAATTGTTTTGATTGACTGTAGTTTTAGGGAAAGGAAAGTTACTCTTCATTTCTTGAAACTATTAATATCAATGCTGATCATACTACTAATGTAAATTAAAAATAATTGTCAAGTAAAGTTACAATTTTGACAGGAACCCAGGAATACCTAAAAACTACTTTGCAAATCAACACCTCTCACAATAGATGTATGTAAAAAGGAATAAAGGAACAATTGAATACAAGAATCCCATTATTGTAAGTTGAGTCTATATAAAATAACCCTTATTGCAGACCCATGATAAAGTTGATTTAGGAAGAGGAAAAAAACATATATAAATAATCAAGGAGGCAGAAAGGTAGAAAGTAACAGAGATTTACTAAATAAGTGATTGATGATTGATTCAGGAACCACCTAAGAAAAATTTGTCCTGGTTTTGCTAACCACTTTGAGATAAGAAACATAAGAATTGAAAGAATGATGAGGTAATTTCATAGCATTTTACTGTCTTGCTAATATTTTTGACAATATTAAAGGAAATTAGAAGCATAACATGGATAGGAATTTTTCATATAAAAGGAGATAAAATGAAAGTTGTCTTTGGGGAAAACATTTTATGGTTTGAAGCACAATTATTTGTGAAAATGAGAAAAATCAAAATGACAAATGAAAAGCCTCAGGAATTATTGCTATATACTTAGATAATTGTTTTGATTCCCTTTAAAGAAATTTTGTAAAGCCCTATCTAAAAGACATTAAACAGAGACATTTATCATTCAGAACAAATGGAACAGAAACTGAAAACATATTATGTTCTCTTCTTGAGAGTTAAAGTACATTTTTATATAGAATATTTCAGTTGAAATAAAAATTTCATAACTTCCACTTAAATATATGATATAAAATACCAATTCAAATAGAGTAAAAGTAAATATAACTTTATTTGGTTCCTTTGATAAAATAATCTTAAAAGAAAGTTTACATACTCAAGAATGAATAAACACCTGTAACAGAAATGTCCTGTTTGGCCTACATTTTTTGATCAATGATTTAGAATATTAGGTAGTTTTCATTAAAAAACAATTAAAGCCAACCAACTGTTATATAATTTTTAGAGCACGATGCATATTGTTTAATTAAGCAATTAGTTAAGATTAAGATGAAATAATTTCTTTATGGTTGTTTGTCTTCTGTTCACATTGTCAATAACCCAAATCCTATGCATAAGCATATAGTATTTGAGTGTGCCTTATGAGACACTTCTAGAAGCAAAGGTAGTAGAAGAATTGCAGGTAACAGTGTGATCATTTTGAATAGGTATGTTAAAAATAAGATAATTTGAATATTAAGGTTTAGAAAAAATCTGAAATTCTATAACCCCAAAGGTTGAAATCCCAAATGATCAAACTCCCTAAAGAGTAAAATATTTTAAGTCTAAATTTCTAAAATCTAAAATTGCTAATGTCTACAATCCTGAAAATCACAATCCAGAAAGATTAAAATCCCCAGTGTTGAAATCCTGAAATGTAAATGCTGAGGAAGAGATCAGTACATTTTGATAGCATGCAGGACAGTTACATCATGTTAGCTGCATCATGTTAGGCAGAGTATTACCTTGTTATTGTCTTTTTTTTTTTTGCATTTGGCACAAAATTCAGGTGAGTAGACTGGCCATGTGATATGGACACCAACAAAAACTTCAGTTTAAAAATGCATCATTGATTTGCATTGGCATTCCTTCTAACTGATGGAATTCTAAGAGCTTTTAATGGATTTAAGAGGAATTTGCCTGAGGAAGCCAGACAGAGAAGTGACTGACTAATTCTAAAATAATTGTGTGCAAAGTAGGATGTTCTCCTACACATGCAATGGTATGACTGTTTACCACTATTGTTTCCACCAAATTTGTGATCTGCATCTGAGTGCATACACAATGGAATTCTTTGTACTCAAAGCAACTTAGAAGCATGGCACAAAAAAATTGCAAAACATAATAGGGAATGCTCATGTTGGTGTACATAGAATCATAAAAGGATTTCAAAAAGATCGGTGTCATGTAGAAAATAAATGTGAATGTATTCTTTGAGGAGAGTTATGCCCTAAAAGAAAAAAACAAAACAAACAGAAAAAACCAGCTATTCATCACCAAACATGACTTGAAAAATAGTTAATGATCGTGAAAGTCAGCTAGCTCTTATGGACTACCTTTATGCAATTGCCAACAATCTATCTATGTAATACACCTTTACATATGGTTTAATTTCTTTTTCTTTTTTTTCATTGTTTTTCTTTTTTTTCCACTGTCTTACATTGTTAGCATTATTTTTTACAATTTGCTATTCTACGTATTTTATTTTTCGTATTTATTTTACGTATTATTTATTCTACGTATTTTATCTTTGTGTAATTTCCAATACTGGAGATATAAATTGTGTAAAAAGGCTTTTAGACAGTTCTAATTTGTTTTATTCACTTTTTGCAAACTTGAAGAAAGTGCAGTATCATAATGTTGACTTTGTAAGCACTGTGCGTGTATGTAAAAATGTTGAAACTTCCTCAATAATTGAAGAGATATCTTCTCTCACAGCTACATTTGTGAGAGATAAAATTTCTCTATATCTCAGGTCTTTTTTTTTTTTTTTTTTTTTTGAGACAGAGTCTCGCTTTGTTGTCCAGGCTAGAGTGAGTGCCGTGGCGTCAGCCTAGCTCACAGCAACCTCAAACTCCTGGGCTCGAGTGATCCTTCTGCCTCAGCCTCCCGAGTAGCTGGGACTACAGGCATGCGCCACCATGCCCGGCTAATTTTTATATATATATATCAGTTGGCCAATTAATTTCTTTCTATTTATAGTAGAGACGGGGTCTCACTCTTGCTCAGGCTGGTTTTGAACTCCTGACCTTGGGCAATCCGCCCGCCTCGGCCTCCCAAGAGCTAGTATATCTCAGGTCTTTGAGTGAATTGTGTATACCGTGGTGATACATTTCTGGTTTTGATCATTTTCCTGAAAAAAACATAGGTTGTCCATTCTATTATATCAGTAGGCCAAAGTTATAAACCACGGTACACATGATTACCAGTTATAATGATGCGCATTTATATATTTCACTTTTGAACAATATTTTATGAATATAGGTCATCTGCTCATAACTGTGATACCCATGTCACTGTGATTAGTATACCTGAATATTTATACTTACAAAAAACATAGGTCATTATTGCCTACTTTATTGTGTAATATGTCTTATAGGTGTTCTGTTATGTTTTTATATGTTTCTCAAATAAATTCCTTTAAAAATGTAAATAAATATTTAAAACTTTTTTTTTTTTTTGCAGAATTACAGTTTAAGCATTTTTCTCTTTTGAAATTTCAACATTTGGGATTTGTCTTTCAGGATTTTAATCAGCTCCCTGAAAATTAAGGTGCTAAATTTAGAAAAAACAAAAGAGCAAAGACAAATGAAGGAGAGAAAAGTAATACAAATAAGAATAAAAATTAATGAAAAAGGAAATAAAAATTTTAAAATCTCAACAAAACTTGGCTACGTACAAAAAATATGAAATAAAGTGCTTAATTTTTAAAGTGTCCCAGATGTTACAAAAATTTTGCAATAATATCACAGGTTTAGGAAGGAATCCTAAGGGCAAATTTGTAATATCATTTGCAGCTGATGCAAGTACAATACTCCTCAAGTCAATCACAATTGTGAGAGCAGGGATTTCTGATTTCTTATGATTCTATTCTCAAAACCAAACACATTCTTGGCACATAGTAAGCTCCCAATAAAATTACCTGTTAGATAAATAAATTATATAGAATTTCAATATTACATAAAAGGAAAGGTAACTGAGATACCATTGGTAGGTGTGTTAAGACTTGATTTCCAAATTATTATGTATCAATAAAAGAATATAGAGTGGCTTTCTCCCAAGAGGATAAATATAGCATTTTCTTCTGACTCCAAGGAAAAATAAAGTTATGCTTTTAATTTTGGCACATAGCCAAATTTTTGAGGATCTCAGGTTTAATTATAAAATCTTTAAAACAAGAAAGAATTTATAATAGTATATCATTACATCATATATGCATATATATCCAATTTATAAGTAGGCATATAATGTGAGGCATATGAATAGAGTAAGAATTTACAATTTATATAATTTCATATTTATATCATTATAATTTTCTTATCATTTTTATATCATGCTCCTTATATAGATGCCTATTTATGATTGTATGCATACCATCTAGTTTAAACAAAGATCAACATGTTACTGACCAAGCTTAAAATAATATCAAATGCAATGACATGTATATATGAACATTAATTGAAAAAAAAATTAGTGATGAGAATAAAGGTGATCTTACATCATTATATGGAAACATATGCAAATGTAATTTTAAAAGAGTTTTAAAATTTTCCATATGCTGCAAAAAAGCTTGCAGATCATGGACTGACACTAAATTTTTAGATAGTTGTTCTAACGTAAACCTAGATATCAGTAAGACTAAATTTAAACAAAAAGAATGATGGGCAAAAAAAATGGACAAGATGGCTAATTGGAGACACTAGCTGCCAGATCATCTCAGAAAGAAGGAAAGGTTTTAGATGAAAAAGAAAAACCAGACAATCATAGATTGGGTGTAATTCTGAGGGAAATGTTCCAGAACCTTCAAGAGATTCCACAGGAAGAAGTTATAGAACAGAACAAAAAGGAGCAAGACATTGATAGAGAACACACCTGAGAGGCGTGGAGTACAGCAAAAAGGGGTGATGTAGTGGTTTGTTTCTCCCTCCCTCACATCTCAGGCAGTCAGCAGGCTCCTGAGCTGCTGGAGAGCCTTTTTACCCTCATGAGCCCAAAAGCTGCTGCCACCAGTGAAATGGGAGCTTCTTGAGGACAAAGCACCAGCCTGCCAGCCCCCTGGAGGTACTTCTCCAAATGGCAGGCACCATATTGCTTCTCCACCCACCGGGTGCCTTTGTACTCGCCAGGGGGCTTCAGCTCCTCAGTTTCATCTCCCTGGTTCCCACACAAATATTTCCCAGACCATGGGAGCCACAGGAGGCAGGTGGGTCCCAGGACACCTGCCTGACCCCAGAGCCTGAATATTCCACTTCTGGAGAGTGGCACAGAGATGACCAGAGCGCTCACTGTCCTCCATGCAGACTCTTTTCCTCTCCTTCCCGTCCCCACCCATGGCTGCCAAGAGAGATGATTGAGTTCTCAGGAGCTGCTGTTTCCCCCCAGTTGATGTATACACAACACTGGGGCTTGCACAGAGAGAAGGAATTAAACCTTTTCTCTTAAAGACCTGCAGAGCACTAAGATTACCCATAATGAGACTAAAACATTATGATACTTCTTTCCATAGATGGATGATTAATTATTAAATTTTATAAGGTGGTAATATCTCATTCTCATATTAAGTTTAAGGCAGTCTCTTTCTAATGGAAGAACAGAACTATTTATGAAATAATTTATCAAGCTTTGTCTATTGATCAGGGAAAAAGAAAAAAAAAGAAATACAAACTAAAAACAGTTTATCATCAAAGGATTTATAAATGGAACTGTAAAACATTTCTTGAATTCAATAAAAAGTATTTGTTTAGTAATTCTAGCTACATTAATTTCTACAGATCAATGTTTTCACTAAACTAATTTTATAACATTTATATATGGAAAAAAATGATATAGGGTTTAGCCTTGCTTTGGTCAGTAGCATGTGAGTAAAAATAATAATAATAATGTATAATCCTATGTCTTGGATACATAGAGGAATCCTGTATTTCCCCTTAGCCCTCTTGTGCTTCTGCCATTAGATGAGAAGAACATGCATTGTGTCAACTGAAAGATCAAGGTGGATGGATGAGAGATATGTGGAGTTAACCCAGACCCAACCTATAGATACTATAAGAAGTCCATCTCTGCTCAGTTTAGAGCAGCAATACCCTCACCTGATCTGAAGAAAATGACCATAATAAATATTTTTGTTTTAAATCACCGAGTGTTATGATTGGTTCTTACATAACACCATTGTTTCAGTAGGTAACATGAATGGGAAGAAAATATTAACGGCAGTGACTTCTTTTCTGCTGTGTATTTTACATATTTTCTAAAATGTATACACATAATTTTTAATTAAGGAAACACTTGTTCAATTATTATGTGTGGAAATTAGATGTAAATGGCAGTCTTAGGACAAGAACATAATGACTAAAACCTGTGTTCTAAAAGTGTCTGATAAATGTTATTAAAATTTGTATATACAAAATAAGGTACATGTGAGCTTGGGGTATTCCAAATAGGCAGACAAACACACTGGAAGACTAAGAAAAGTTTCTACTATTTAAGGAATTTTATTTGATATTAACTGTCTATACATCTTAGATTTAATCCCTTCTTCCTTAAAAAAATGACACCATCTCTTCTTTTCTTTTTAAAAAGATTTCCTCCAAGATGTCAAATTATATAGTTAGTGATAATTTGATTTCTTTAATTCACTATCTGGCCTTCTACTAATAGAATGGTGTAATTAATACTATTTTCTTATACTCCCATATTAGGTCATTATTGTTAAACAATTGTTCTGTAATTTCAACATTTTTCAAACTTTTACTTCTAAACTAATAACAAGTTTATGCTCTTATACAAGCCCTGCATAGTTTTAACCTCATAATTTCCTTTTTTTTTTTTTTTTTAATTTGACATTTAGCTTCTTCTGAAAGCAAACCTCTATACTTTGGAAGGTGTGATTGGATTGGGCTGCTAAGTCTGTATTAACTTGCTATTATTTGCTTATCTTTTATTTCTTACTTATTATTAGAGTGACAAGTCTCCTTTGCTTTCTATTTTTTTTTCTTTAAGCCAATATTATAATCCTTTAATAAACACACACCAGATCTTTTAAATTTCACAAGTATATTTGACTCAAAGGACATAATTACAGAGCACATACAACCATTATTTTAAAAACACACTTAAAATGTCAAATATATTGAACCTTATATACTTTGTTGGTTAAGGTACAGTCAGTGGCAGAATATAAGATTTTTATTCAAATAGGGCTGAAACTAAATTACTGTTCTATATTTAATTATCTTTATGAGTCTGGGCAAGGTATTAAACTTATTGAGCCTTAGTATCCTGTTCTATAAAATTGAGTTTTAAAAGTGCTCAGAGTATTATTTTGTCTACTTTACAAATAATATTCAATGACCTAGCATATAGCAAATGCTACTCATTTTTTAGTGTCTTCATCTCAGTGGGGGCAATTGAAGAAAAAATATAGAAATAATATAAAACATATAATTTCACAGTTACAAGATGCAGAGATAATCTGTTCCAATCCCTTAATTTTATAAATGGCTAATCTGAGGTCAAGAGTGATTTAGTGTTTTGCTTGAAATCCTTTAAGAAGAGAGCAGCAGAAAATGGCTTATTTATAGCTACATCATAACTTCAAGGGCTGCAAATAGGACTTAGGCATTTTTGCTTTTCTCTGGAGTGAGGGAGGCCAACATATGTTAGCAAGGCTATGTTTTAATATACTTTAATATTATCTCCAAAGAAATTAAACATATTCTGTTCAGTTATTCCATAATTCAATATTCCCAAAATGCCTTTTTTGTTATATTTTCCCACTGAAATTTTCTTGTAAAGTCTGTTATGCCAAAGGACTATTATGCAAAAGAAAAATAAATTGAGCAAAATTAGTCTAATTTATTGAAAATGTATTGTTATAGCAGGAGAGTTTGAGACTAGCTAAAAGCTCCAAGGTTCTACTTGAACTCAGTCAAGTTAGGATAGCTCTACTAGATCACTAGAAGGATCAGATGACACTTTTGAAATATGTCCTAATATTCTATTCATTGACTCTAGGAAACAGGACTGTGGATAAGATCTTGATTTTGAAGAATTATAATAAACTTGAATTATCTTTATTTTAGTCATTAATTTCTAAAACTGGGCATAATGAATTTGATAAATGTGAAAATTCCTTTGGGGTAAATAAAAGTATAACTTCACTAAGTACACGCAATTTAATCTTTCTTATATTTATGGGTTCTAGGGGGTCTTGGTATTCTTGTTCATGTGTGGATAAATATTTCCTTGGATCATGTATTTCCTATTCTTAGCTGAAACCATAGAGAAAACTGCTCATGTCACATTTTCTCCCAAGACACAAACTAAGATTACTAAAAATCTCACAAGCCATCTTGTTTTTGAAAGATTTACAGCAAGATTTTCTGACCAGATAAGTTGGATAAGTTAGCTTCAGATCTGTATCTGAAATGAACTTCCTCACCATTTGAGGTTTATCATGGGCAATATCATCAAAAAGTAGCACACAGCTTACTTCCACTTTCACGAAAGGGCTTTGGCAGACTGCCTAAAGAGAAAATACCTGCAATTCAGAGAACTATGATGACCTTTTTTTTTTTTTTTTAAAGCTTCCATACCTTTTCAAAGTTTCCACTGAATCAGGGTCGTTTAAGTCTATTCTCTATTTTCAATTGACTTTAAACTTCCTGTATGCACTGTGGTACAAAAAAAATGAAACCAACAATAATTAAGATTTCTAATAATCTCTCTTAGGTTTTGGTTGGGGATGTTGACATTGTCATTCTGCTAAATAATTCTACTTGCAAAAGGGAAAGAGATTTAGAAGGAAAGCATTTTTTCTTCAACTCAATGCTTTTTGTTTGTTTCTAAACTGTCTAGCATCCAAATTTCTTCATTGGGTATTTGGAAATCACTGTTCTTTTGCTTTGGTATTTGAAGAATATAAGAATATAGTGGCTGCCTTTTGCCCTCAACTCTATATTTTGATCCTTCTATTTTAAATTTTCTTTATAATTAACATTTGAAATTAAATAACAATTTCACAAATTAATAATTGTTTGTTTTCCTTTCTGCTAGTCAGTGTCTTTTCACTCTTATCCCTTTACTAGATGATGCCATGGAAAATACCAAGCAAGTGTGGAAAAAAATTATTTGAGGTAAAATCCTCATGTAGAAGAAATAAGAAAATAAAGGCTATCTTATAGACCTGTACTTGCCTCTCTGATTTAGTGAAATATTGGATATGAATTATTTTCTTCTCAATACAGTAGGTTCTCAAATAATGTGATTTTGTTCAGCATTCTTCAATGATAAGAAATAAAAATCAATTCTCAGCTAGAGCCACTTGTCTATGTGGAGTTTCTACATTGTCTCTATATCTGCATGAGATTTCTTTGAATATTCTGGTTTCCTCCCACATCCCAAAGTGTGTTTAGGTGAATGGATGTGTCCACATAGTCCCGGTGTGGGTGTGAGTGCATTTGTGATGGAATAGTGTCCTATTCAGGGCTGGTTCCCACCCTGCACCCTGAGCTGCTGGAATGGGCTCTGGCCACCTGGGACCCTAAACTAAAATAAATGGGTAAGTAAATATTTTTTTTTTGTTTTTTATTAACCTTTCTTAAATGTATGTATATCTCCCATTTATGTCAATGTTTTATATTAGAAGTGTTTGGGGTCTTTATTTAGTTTTGTGATGTGTCTGTAACCAGAAATATGCCATAGGAACTTAACTCTTGTATGTATCAATTAGCCTATGGTAAAATTTGTTTTATTATACCTCATTTAGCTTAAAGTTCCCAAGAATCTATTGATGATGGCGAGTGAGGACTTCCCGTACTCTTCATATGTCTACACACTGTGCAGCTAGAATGCCTGGATGCTGAGAGGCTAGACAATCTCCTTAATCTCTCTTCATGTCTCAGTTTCCTCATATGTTAAATGGAAATAGTAATAGTAATTATGCAATGAAAATTTTTTAGGATGACTTATGACAGGATATGATGCAAAATAAGCACTATATAGGTGTAGATTATTTTCTATTATTACATGCCATAAGGAAGTACAAATTACCTTAAATTAAAGTAACATAAATTGTTGGAGATGCACCATTGGACAGCAGAAAAGAGAGTGAAAATAAAGTTGGAAACCTCCATTTTGAGTTCTGACCCTCTACTTATTCTCACTTGGTTTCATTTTCTTTTTCTCTAAATTATGGTACTTTTCTAGTTCTGTAACTTGACTTTAACTGGACCAAAATCACAAATAATCACCAGTCAACTGTGTTCTTCCTCAGAAGTTCTGTGTTTAGCTCGGGAAACTAGAAGAATAGTAGGAATAAATTAATTACCAGACTCACAAAGGAAAATCATGGGAAATAGAGGAAATAAAATAAAGATGAAAATGGCATGGCTAAATACAGGGAAAAGAAATATTAGTAGATATGCAAAAGAAAGGAAGGAAGAAGAGAGAGAGAACTATATCTGTGTTGAAAATCAGACCTGGATCTAGGGAAATCAATGAGATTTGGGGCTCTCTCAGAATAATTATTACCATGTTTTTTATCTTGTTATCCTTACATAGCACATGGTACATTTTTAAATAACGTCTGCTTCAATAAATGCATTTAGCAAGTGACATAAATAGTTTGTCTTACATAAAGTCAAGTGCTGGTGATTATCAATAGAAGGAAAATCTGGCATAAGCCCTTGTGTTATCATTTCATCTATTTCCGCCTCCCCCGCCCCCAGAAATTTTAAACATATTTCTTCAATCAAAGGACAGAACAGAGAATCTTTAGGCCTTTTTAATAGCTGTGTAGAAATGTAATTAACATAACATTGCACATATTTAAAATAACTTGTATATTTTGACAAGTGAAACCACCATAAATCAAGATTTAGAATATACTCATCGCCTATGTTAGTTTCCCCAAGGCCTTTCCATTTTCTCTCTCTGTTCTTATCCCCCACTCCCTGGCACTCCTCAAGCAACCACTGATTTGTTTTTTCAGCATAGATTAGACTGTATTATCTAGAGTTATATAAATGTAATAATACAATTTTTGTGTATTTTTGTCTGACTTTTTCTTAATGTTTCTCAACCTTATTATTTTTTAGATTCATTTATACTCTTGCATATATCAATAGTTTGTG